ATTGGATAAAAGCTTTTAAAACACCTCTCAGTTACCCATCTCTAAGTCAGAAAAGGGATTAATCCAGCACAGCCTGGATGTCTCTTTGCTAATCCTCACTGTGGGACTTTTCCCTTGCTGTGGGACCAGTGTGCATCCCTGTCCCAGACAGAACCCTTAGAACAGAGCTGTTATTTCCATTCTAATTCTGATTTTAAAAACCCTGTCCCAGCCTGCTCATGTCCCAGACAGAATCCTTAGAACAGAGTTGTTATTTCCATTCTAATTCTGATTTTAAAAACCCCTGTCCCAGCCTGCTTAGGTCCTGGAGAGAATCCTTAGATCAGAGTTGTTATTTCCATTCTAATTCTGATTTTAAAAACCCCTGTCCCAGCCTGCTTAGGTCCTGGAGAGAATGCTTAAAACAGAGTTATTATTTCCATTCTAATTCTGATTTTAAAAAACCCTGTCCCAGCCTGCTCAGGACCCAGACAGAACCCTTAGATCAGAGTTGTTATTTCCACTCTAATTCTGATTTTAAAAACCCTGTCCCAGCCTGCTTAGGACCCAGAGAGAATCCTTAGAACAGAGTTGTTATTTCCATTCTAGTTCTGATGTTAAAAATGCTGGCCATAGCACACCCACATCCCCCCAGGGCTCTCATTTGTAGGATCTCAAGGATGCAGCTCCCATTTTTGGGTGCAGATCCAGAATGCAGTAACACCATGAATCACCCCAGGACAGGAGCAGTGAAAGCAGTGCCAGCTCTCAATACCCCCATGCTGGGAGTTAATACTGAAAATTTGATCCAGATTTTGTAACTGGGCTAGGAAAAGGTTTGTGGTAGGACCTCAGATGAATTCCACGTTTAAAATTTGCAGTGTTGTGCTAAGCCAGTTTCTCAGGATGCCCTGAAATTCAAGGGTATCTCCTAGAACTGACTGCTAAGATCAGATTTTCTGATTGAGTATCTGCCAAGTGATTATCCAGTAGTTGTTCAAAGTAAATTTAATTAAATTTTCTGCATAGGTGAAGCAAACCATAACTTGCCCATGAAGTCAGGGTTTTTCTGTACTTTCCTCAGTACTTTTGCCATGTCCTTGCCCCTTGGAATCCCAGTGCCATTCAGGCCATGCTCCATGCACTCCTGGGTGCCAGCCAGGATTCTGGCATCAGCCTTTGTTTGAAGAGCAAGATTCAAACAGGACTTCACACCACAGTACCAGTGAAACCACTGAAACCAGTTTGAGTCTCATGGAAATGTAGCTAAAACAAATCTGATAACAAAAAAAATCATCTGTTCACAGGCAGTGAAGCACTTGAGGACTCCTGAGTTTAAGCCTTATGTTATCTTTGTGAAGCCTCACATTTCAGAAAAGAAAAAACATGTCTTAAAATCTCACATGTCAGAAGAAATCTCATCCCCTCTTGTGAGTATTCCAAGTTCTAATGCCTTGAAAGAAATATTTGGGGCTAGCACTTCTGTTACTTGAAAGAACTCTTCCAAAACAAGAGTTAAAGTGGGGCACTAAGTGAATTCCATTTCAGATGGAATTTCAGAATGGAATTTTGGATTCCTGATCTCCTCAAGTTTTAAAGTAACACAAAGCCAAGTGCCAGTGTTCCATGTGGATCTGGGCACATCACCAAGGCTGCAGCAGGGGGAGTTGTGGTTATTAATTGTTGTGGTTTTGTTGTGGGTTTCAGGATGAGGTGAGAGATGAGAATTGACTCTAAGTTCTTAGAAGGCTGATTTATTATATTATGATATTATATTGAAAGAAAATTATATACTAAAACTACACTAAAGAAAGAGAAAGGAGACATCAGAAGGCTAGAAAGGAATAAATAATAAAATCTCATGACAGACTCAGAGAGTCCAACACAGATGGCTGTGATTGGCCATTAATTAAAAACAATTCACATGCTGGTAAACAATTCTCTAAATCACATTCCAAAAAAGCAAAACATGGAGAAGCTGAACCTTCCCAGCTTCTCAGGAGAAAAGATCCTGGCAAAGGAATTTTTCATAAAATATCACAGAGACAGGAAGTTGCTGCTGAACTCAGATAAAACAACAATCATTTCACATTTCCTATAAGCAGCCCAACAAAAGGTAATTTTTTATATCCCCAAAGTGACACCCACAGCAGAGTTTAATGGTGTACACACAAAACACAGGATGTGGATGTCTTGAGGATCAAACCTGGATCACTTAAATTTATATATATATATATATATATATATATATATATAATAAATATATATATATACATATAATAAATATATATATTTATGATAACCTTAACTTAGTTCACTTGGTAAGTTTTTGTGTAAACCCTCAACAATACTGAACTTGGGACAGTATATGCACAATTTCTTTTCAGTTTTGAGGAGTGTGATTCCCATATCTTGGGTTAAACTACATAAAATGAAGTATCACCATTTTCTGTCCCTCCTGTACCATATTTTCCCCCTTCCCTGAGGCTGTTTGCATTTTTTGGAACAGCTGCCTGTAGCATAATGCTCCTTGATCTCAGTTTTAATATCTTCAACACCTTTTCCTAATGGTAGCAGCTTTTGTTGCATGTTCTCAGAGTAATGACTCATTGTGCTTTAAAAAAAAAAAAAAAAAAAAATATATATATATATATATGAATATATATTACAATGTATAGTAATATATATAATGATCTTATATGTATATTTTAATATATATATTAAAATAATACATACATACTTTGAAATGCTAGAAGGACACACTGCAAATTCCATACCAATATCTTGTTTTGATCAACAGGATGAAGAACAGCAGGAAATTCTAAATTCAGCAGCATTCATTGAAGAGCAGTATGGCCATTTAATTGACACTGTGCTGGTGAAAGAAGATCTCCAGAGTGCATGTAATGAGCTGAAAAGTGTGTTGGATAAACTGAACAAGGATTCATTTTGGGTGCCAGTCAGCTGGGTTAGGTCATAGCTTGTTACCATGTTTAAAGGAAAGACTGTATAAAAATGTTCTGTAAATACATGAATTAGAAAAGGGGAGTACATTGAATTTGCTTCAAAACTGCTGGTCTTACCTGGAAGGCAATAAATAAAGAATGTATGAGGAAAGACTAACAAAGTCACAGACTGACATTGCCTTTCTGAGTCAAATTTTGAATAGCAGCTGGCATTTAGAAATTAAAACTCAGACCAAATAAGCCAGTGCAGTCTTTTACTGATCTTTACACTGGAAATTGTGCATTTTGTTACAGTGGTGTTTCACAGAGGCTCCCACACTTCCAAAGCACTTTGTGCTGAGACACTGACAGGAAGGTTTGTCCTTTGGCCACAAATTTTTATGGCTGGATTGAAAACCTCAGAATAAAGTCCCCCTTAAGAACAAGCTCCTTCAGCTGGGTGGGAAATGTTCTTTGGAGAGAGGCTCAACAAGTTCAGCTGGCCATTGAAACATGCTTCCCTTCCCACAGAAGCATTAATTTCAAATCCTTAATTAGGCACTAAAAACTAGGCCAGCCATAGGAGGGGTTTTATGTCCATCACATTTTCCTGTACTCCAAATTATCTTGCACAGCTCACAGGTATTGTCTGCTCATCCACAACTTATGCTCACTTTCCCAGTCACAAAAGCTGAACAACCTCTGAGGGTACCTTTAATTAAATTAAAGCAAATTTAATTCAATCCTAAAACACAGATTTTTATAGTGTACATCAAAACAACTGCAAATGGTTCTAAAACAGGAGAGTTGAGAAGCTTTGGTTCTGCAAAATATCTGTGCTACCTGGTGGGCCACAGCCTTGACACCAATGGGACAGCTCCAGAAAGGGCACTCAGAGGAGGAGCCACAGGTCAAAATCATCATCCTTCCAGCATTTATGTACTAAAAAGAGGAGCCACAGGTCAAAATCATCATCCTTCCAGCATTTGTGACCACTTCTGTCCCAAATCTGGTCAAGGTTTCCAGAGCATCTAATTGGCCTGAAGAAGCAAACTCTGAAAGGACCTTGTAAATATTTGAGACTTGAATATTGAGTATTTTTGAGTGGGTCTTAGGAAGAGGCAGAGATGATTCTGGAAGTAGCTTTGCTNTTTTATTTTATTTTATTAGGTTGTTTGGGGGCCAGGTTAAGTGAGCTGAAGCAAAAAGTTGTGTCAGAGAACCCCCAGGAGTACGGGGTCGCAGTTCCACGTGAGTAAAATTTCCTGATTTGTGGTTGTTACATCTGTATTCTGTCTGATTAATGCCTTGCCATCTGCACTAATGATCATTTCTGTTCTGACTACTGATTATATGAGTATTTCTGAAGTACTCCAGTTCTTTTTTCTCATTGTAAATTCTCGTGATTCTTAATTTTTTTTTGTTAGTTACAGCACTCCTGGGAGCAAAACAACTTCAATTTTGATCATACAATATTTGAGATTGAGTCTAAAACAAAATTATAGGGTCTGATTTATATTTTGTTCATTTAAATTTGCCACTGTGCAACTTTTCTTGTTTGAAGTTGGGAAAATGTGACTGGAACTAAGTGGAGAAAACATTTCCAAAAGTGATGTGTGTCCCATGTCTGGCTTCCCTTCTCTTCCAGACACAACAAGGTCAAGGAAAAGTCACGAGAGAGAAGGAGTAGAATACAATTTTGTTTCTAAGCAATCATTTGAGACAGATGTGCAGCAAAACAAGTGAGTTAATTTTTAAATACTGGTAGAATTGACTATTTTAAAATATTGCTTGCTCAGTTTTGCATCATGAATACCAAAATCAGGAGACAAGCTGGACAAGATTAGAAGGATTCAGCTTTTAAGTAAAAAGCTCTTTACAGATTCTGGACTGTTAGAGCAAACTCAAACATTGAGCTGGAAGCAATTTAGGAATAACATCAGTAGGAGGATCCTGAGTTAGAATTTAAATAATCTGCATAATGCTTGGTCAGAACTGAATCTAGTGGAAGTGATAGATTCACTTAGTTGGGCTGCTCACTGTCTGTTTAGTATGATGAGGAAAAAGTTTTATTCACAAATCTCCTTGAAAGTAAAAAGTTTTATTCACAAGTCTCCTTGAAAGCAAAAAGTTTTATTCCCAATTCTCCTTGAAGGTGTGTGCTGGATGGAAGCTGTGGCTGTACATTGTGAGCCTGAGCAGGTTTTCTCCAAGTTCAGATCTTTACTAAGCTCCCAAAAGATGGGAGAATTGCAGCCCATTGCCTTGCCAGTTTTGTTCTGTTTCCTGTGAAAAATAGCCATTCTTCTTCCCCTTTGTGTCAGCAGTGCTGATTAACTGTTAGTGATTTATGAAGAATTGCTACAAAGCAAGGAAGGAAAAAAAAATAAGTAAAAAAAAAAATAAAATCCCTCCCCACCCACTCGTGGTTTTCTGCCTCTCTCCTCCCTCTTTGCTTTGACTTCAGCAAACAACTATCAAATGTTCCAAGTTAAATATTGTGAATATTTTTTTGTAGATGATATTTAAAAATGTATTGACTTTTTAGATTTGTGGAACACGGAGAGTACAAAGAGAATTTGTATGGCACAAGCCTGGAGGCAATCCGCTCTGTGATGGCCAAAAAGAAAGTTTGTCTGGTGGATGTGGTACCTGAGGTAAGTCCTGCAGCTTCTTTTAAAGAATGCAAATATCATTTCCTGCTGCCTGAGCAGAATGGGACTCTGGGGAATGCAGGGCAGTGCTTGCAGTTCCCACAGTCCAGCTGGGACATTCCTTTCAAATAAGATTCGATATTTTAAAGAAATGGAACTGTGAAAGATGCACTGCAGTAGGAGCCATGAGGGGTAATTGGCTTTAAGGGATTTACAGTGTGGGGTGGCAAAAGCTGATAGGTCAAAAAACACTTATAATTTATTGTAATTAGCAAATAATTGGCTTCTGATTGTGATGGCATGAATTATAACATCTGTATTGT